CATCAAGGTAACATCAAAATCACTGGATTAAGAAATCACGGTTTTCGGAAAATCACAGGATTTTTATGAAATTACGAGATCAGCAACATCATGATATAATGATATAATCAATTATAATCAAAAGCACCTAATTATCAAAGTTACCGGACTGTCAACATCAAGGTAACATCAAAATCACTGTAGTAGAGAATTAATTCATGACAATTCTAACGCTACGCCTCTACCTACATCACGGAAATCCTATTATTACATCACACATTGCCAACATCACGGAAATATCCATTTCCCATCGTGAATATACACGAATATGGTAAAACTTAAGAATCTGGCATATGTATAGGCTTACATATAAGGTGTTTTTTTTCTCACCTTTTCAACTAGAGCGGTGTGGTGAGATTTGTTTGAAGTGAACCCTTGTTTTCTTTATTGTGTTAGTAAAGAAGGCGATTCAAACTCTGTCTCATTAATATTTAATACAAAAATCTATACCTCACAGCCACGCACATGAGTGTATGTGGACAAAGATAAAATCCTACGAGCATATAATTAGTCAAATCACGAATATTTATACTATACACATACTCCCTCTAAAGCATTGGTTCCATATTTTGATGAGATTTGTGTTAAGTCCACTCCCATAGAAGAAGTTCTAGATGAGATAAAGACTCACAACTTAAGCTAGAGGTTTAAAGTTTCCTAGAGTTACCTGCGCTGTAGAGAAATCAACAGGAGACACGCTTTACCAGACGGCACGACTAGAAATGGCGGGAGACCTGAGATGCCGTGACGATTGTTGTGGCTAGATCAATGAGCAGCCCAGGGCGTGGCACCTCCCCCACCCACCACGTGGCGCTACTCCACCCGCCTAGTGGTGAGCTTTTCCTTAGCGGGAGTTCCCGGTAATTGTAGCATACCTTCCTGTAGCATACCTGCCTGTAGCATACCTGCCTGTAGCATACCTGCCTGTAGCATACCGGCCTGTAGCATACCGGCCTGTAGCATACCTGCCTGTAGCATACCTTCCTGTAGCATACCTGCCTATAGCATACCTGCCTGTAGCATACCTGCCTGTAGCATACCTGCCTGTAGCATACCTGCCTGTAGCATACCGGCCTGTAGCATACCGGCCTGTAGCATACCTGCCTGTAGCATACCTGCCTGTAGCATACCTGCCTGTAGCATACCTGCCTGTCCTGTTACAGCATACTGTATGCTTCCTTCGCAATAGTGTTACTTCAGCATCATGCATGTATTTTGCTATAACTATTACCTGTATGCTTCCAAAACTCTGACGTATACTGATGTCTTTGCTTCTAGAATTCATTATAACATACTGCTAGAGCGGATATGTATGCATCTAGACCTGATACACGTATGCTACTATAAATGACACGAATACTGTTATATGTGATATATTACGCTGCCAGATTTATCTATTGCAATGTAGGCCTATTCGTCAAATGCTGAAAAGAACTAGTATTAGCCAATTACATAGGCGTAGGAAGAAGATATTGGTTAAATAATTAGCCTCGTTTTGAGATCCTAGCTTCATGATGTGTTCGTGATATGGCGTTAAAATTCCCATTTTTTGGTTTTATGCCGTTGCGTTTGCATAATTTCTTGAAAGTAAAATATGTTTTCTAAATCAAATGCATGTTTTCTTACGACTGTTAGAAAATTGAAAGCTGTATTGAGTCGAAAATGTGCTGAATATAGCTGATTGTGTAAATTGAGAAAAATAGGTCTTGAAATAATAATAACTAATACAACAGCATGATACATTTTCATTGATCTAATTGATCTAATTGATGATCTAATTGATCTAATTGATGATCTAATTTGACGTATTGTATTAAAAATACGGCTACTAGGAAAACATTTGAGATATAGGCAATATTGAAACGGTTTTAGTCAAACAAATATTTGACGAACATCGTGGTAGTTAACTTAAAGATCAAACGGATCAATCATTGGAACATACATAGGTAGCCAGAAGTAGCAATACAATTGTGGAACTAGGTAGCCAGAAGTAGCATACAACAATGGAACTAGGTAGTCAGAAGTAGCAATACAATTGTGGAACTAGGTAGTCAGAAGTTGCATTACAACTCTTGAGCTAGGTAGCCAGAAGTAGCAATACAATTTTTTAATTTTTATGAACCAATAGTGAAGAAAGTGTGAAAATAACCATTGAAACCTTGATCAATCTGCGCCCCCCACCCCCTACACACACACCCACACAACCTGGCCCACACAGACCATCTGTGTAAGGGGTGGGATTATCCTTATAGACCTTAGCCTCAACACCCGACTTTGATAGAACAGACTCCAAACTCTCTCCCTCTCTCTCTCTCTCGCTCTCTCTCTCTCTCTCTCTTTCTCTCTCTCTCTCTCTCTCTCTCTGTTTTAAAAACATTCGTGCTATAAAAATAGTTTCCACCTCAGCGGCTTTCTTTGTTCCGTGTAGCACCGGGGTACCACATCAATACCTGACATAATGGCAGCGACCTACATGTAAGAAGTCGCAACAGCTTCCGATCGATAATCCCCCTTCGCCGTTTTTATATTCTTTATAGCACACACACGCACATACACAAACACGCACACACGCAAACCACACACACACACGCACACACACACGCACATACACAAACACGCACACACGCAAACCACACACACACACGCACATACACAAACACGCACACACGCATACCACACACACACACACACACACGCACACACAAACCGACAGACGTGCGACACGTGTACTCAATACAAGTCTCGTTTTTCATCGGCGGGTTGCGGCGAGATTTGCTCAAGCGGGGCGGTTTGTGACGTCAGGATATCGTTTGTCTCCAGCGGCGGATGTGGGGACTGCGCGAGATCGATGCTGGGGGGTCAAAGGTCACGTCACGCCCTTGAACACTGTGGGATGGCGTGCTATACGATAGCGGTATGGGTTGTGGGAAATGGGAAATATATGGATACACCCATTAGAGGAAAACTGGGAAGACTAAAAGAAATATGGTAGAAACGGTAGATATGGTTGGGCCTGTGCATGAAAAAAGGGAAAAGACGGACGGACAAAAATTAAAGTTATAAATAGACCAATGGAAAGGACAAAAATGTGTCGCATAAAATATTTAATCCGTTTATCCGCTACTGTCAGAAAAATAAAAAATAAAAACTGCTTTAAAGTATTAAGCTTAGAACACCTGTGTGTTTTTGTTGTTTTAAGTCCTTTCAACTGAACTTAAATCCCAACTTGCATGCACCTAGCTAAAATGGTGCTAAATGTTGAAGTGTGTATGTGACGCGACATGCCGTCACACTAACACATTGCTGCGTCCTTTATTCCGTGTGCTTCGGCAAGGTATTTTCGTATTTATTCTTATAAAGTTATTCATTGTGTTGGTTTGTTTTGATGTTGTGTGTTCGACTCTATGAGAGCAGCGGATCACGTGACAGCAATGTACAAGTAGGCGGCTTTAACAAAAACAATTTTTATCAACTCCTTGTAAAACTGGTAGATCGTCGGAGTGTGTAGGAATGGTGCAAGGGGGGGGGGGCGGGGGCGGAGTAAGGGGAAATACAAGATATGAGATACTCTACTGCATGTCATGCATGCTAATTTATGTTAATTTATGCGAAGTTTACACAGATATCGCATGCGGAAATATTACTTCGTAAGACACACACATACACACACACACAAACACACCAACACGCATAAACACAGTATCGTCTTACATTCTTGGATTAGTTTTATATTGACATCTCATGAGATGTTTTTCTTCTTCCCACCATATATATATATATATATCTATATATATCTATATATATATATATATATATATATATATATATATATATATATATATATATATATATCCGACGTGAAATACGCATCGAAAAAGTAAACAGAGCTAAGCAAGCAGATAGTATCGTTCATAGGATCGATACACTTGTGTTCAATGTATCGATGGCACATAACTATTTGTGCTGCAAGGCTATCGATTATTCCTCAGTCAACTACAGTATCGATTACCCTAGAATAAATCGTTGGTATTGTTTGCATGATCCTAACAGATGGCAAAAAAATATTGCCGTTGAAAATAACTACCCCCCCCCCCCCCCCCACCCCCAACCCCCACTCAGCAGACTTGGAATGATGTGCTTAGGGTAGAGACAGTAGAGTGGAATGGGATTATGAAAAGAGCAAGCACAGAATCAAATATTCATATGGCTTACAGTTAAATCGTGCATAGGATTAAGCCTGGCTAAACCCCTCATTTAGCCTGGCTAATCCGATCATTTAGCCTTTAATATTTTCTAAAGATTCGACATTTTGGTTTATGAGCGCAGATAAAACCAAACGTTAAGAGGTCGGTTTATGGGTAACGTTAGATCAGAAGACGGTTAAGCTCTGAGGATAGACGGAGCTAAGCTTTAATGCGTGTTGCTGGGTTGTACTGGGATGTACAGCAGTAGACGGTACGGTAGGTGGTATTTGAGATTAGCTCCAGGAGCTAAAGTAGACTTGATATTGTCTACTTTAGTAGCCTCTAGAGCAGAGGCTAAAGTAGACTTGATAATGTCTACTTTGGAAGTATTTTAGTAGATTAACGATGTCTATTTTAATGGCCTATACAGCAGAATGATGCTAAAGTAAACTTGATAATATCTACGACTACGAAAATATTCAAGAACTGCGAAGAAAAACTACAGATTACTAATATTTTCGTGTGAGCTTAAAATCAAATTTGCAAGAGGCAAAAAATATTAACAAAAAACTACCACTTAAGTTTAATATTAATTAGAAGCCACTGTATTAAGCAACAAACTGATAGTGTTATGACAGTGTGGATAGGGGGAGGCTTAGAAAAAATACCATATGCATAATACAATTAAATACAAATTATCAAAATACTGCCGTGGGGTGTTGGAAAGAACATTAATTAAATAATTAATTAAATTAACCGTTTAATATATCTACTTAC